TTTCCACCACAAAACCATCAACAACTAGCTCGAGAGGTCACACAAGAACAAATTGAGAACCTCTAGCATTAGGTTGATGATCTCAATACCCTACTAGCTGGTGACCGTGGAACACCTTTGTAGAAAGACAAGATTTTAAACATCCGATCAACCAACACAATCACATTGGCAAGAAAACTGAGCAACCACCCAAGAATAACCCCCCTCGACCTGAAGGAAACTAGGCACATTGCTAGAACTACTAGAACAAGCAGTAGGGTCGAGACCCTAACCCCCAACCACTCATCCTAACAACCTCAATAGCCAAGTAGAACAACCACCCTAAAATAATCATAATCCTCAAGCTTTAGGTATCTAAGCCCATCATCCAAAAGCCTAGCACGACTAGTAATAAACTCCATGACCGTAGAAGATCCCAAGCCAACGACCTTAGCCAGACCTCGGAGGCTCTAATCTACAACCATTACACCCCTAAATGCCTTATAGACACAGATCCTACTTGGATTTTGAGACAAACCTTTTCTTAGGTGGCTTAGAATGCTTAAATCCAATCAAGGAGATCAAGACAAATACTATAGATTCTACTGAGGCTATAGATATGCCACCAAATACTGTCGAGAACTCAAGAATGAAATTAAATACCTCATCCAATCAGGATACCTCGATAATTTCATGTCTCATAAATGATACAAGAAAGTAAGACTAGAGAATGAGAATCCAAGACAAACATCCAACCAATGAAAAGCATCAAAGCTGGCATCTTAGGACCATGAAGCCAGGAGCCTCGTCTTAAATAGTGCCCAACTCATTGCATAGCATGGGCTAGTTTCAAAACACCTCTTGGACCTTGCTCTACAAGCAAGACAACAAGGCCTCAAGCCCTAAAGGCCAAACCAAGTTAGGCTCGATAGGGAACGATGACTGAGCACCAAAGTAGTTGAATTAAACTTTGTTGATTAACTAGATATATTTACAAGTTAAGGCTTGGTTAACAGTATAAAGCCAACTCGCTTAATAGGGTTGGAAACTTTAGCTGAAGAACCGAATGACTGAAGGCCTTGTACAAGCCACTCGGCGGAACAATAGAGCTGTTGCCCTTGGTCATGCCGACCAAATGTCGCTCACCTAAAGACTAAAGAAAGTTAGGCTTGGCAAGGAATAATGCCTGAGTTGGACTCTATCGACACATTGATCACACTAATAGACAAGAACTAGTCACCAGTATAAGTCCAACTGCCCTAGAAGGGTTTAAAGGTTTAATCGAGGAACTAAATGGCTGAAAGACTCATAAAGGCCATTCGATAGAACTGTTGGGTTGTCATCCTTGGTTGTGTTGACCAAGTTGTCACATCAATCGAGCTCACACATAGGTCTTGGTTAGGCCACTACAAGAACCAACTTGCCCCAAGTTGTATGCAAGCCCCAGTCATGCCATAATGGGTACTAACTTGCCCCAACTTGTGTAAAGGCCTTGAACATGCCACCTCAGTTATCACATGATTGCAATAATAAAGAAACAAAAAACAGGGTATAGAGGACTTGAAGTTACAAGAGCTCAATTCAAAAGTTAAACTTTCATTATTTCTTAAAAAGGGGGTTGTGGATTCTCGGGCCAATGCCTTGGCTACCCACTTGTTCCTCATGGAATTGATCTCAGTGATAGGGGTAGGCCATTCTAGAATGAACACCCTCGTCTTCATAGCTTGTGGAGTCACTTCGAAGTTACCCATCTTGGCCTAATCATCATTTGGGATATCAATGTGCTCTTGGGTAACCGCTTACCTCGGCTTCGTTGAATGGGTTCCTTGGCCATTGTCTTCAAGCCACTTCCTCTTCCTCATGTGTTTGAGCAACACACAACTAGCCATGCACAAACATTAAAAGAAAAGCTCAAAGTCTACATTGATTGGCTTGGGGAATGCTACCTAGATTTGTCTAACTGAACCTAACTTCAACTAGCTAGGCCTTGGATAATAACTCTTTGACATTAACCTTGACAGTTGAGCACCCTCTCAGGTATTTTCTCAACTAGAGACTCATCTCCGAAATAGAACCCCTCTTAGACTACACCCGAGGTCTTGACCTTAGGAACACCCTTGACCTCATCATCCACATTGACAATGTTCACTTTCACATCCTCTGCCTCGGCCTTAACCTTGCCCTTCACACTGAAAGACACAACTTGACTTTGGAATTCGGCCTCCTCAGTCTCAATCTCTTGAGCAACCTCATCTTCGGCTAGAGGACTACTAACCTCAATCTCCCTAACCTTTATCTCATTGATCTCAACTACTGAGTTGAAGCAGCCACTTGCCAATTCTGACCTTGAGCCAGAATGGTTGAATTAGGAACTATAATCAGAATTTGAACTAGAAGACATAATGAATGAGTAGGGCAAAGGAACTAACCAGACTGACTAATGGAAGATACCAAGGAACCAATTCGAAGTCAACTAGTGACCTAGCTTTGCTCTACTCTCCCACACGCTCTAGAAGCAATCGGATTCGAAAAATCCAACTTCCTCATCGGTTTGGATCAAATCCAAAAATCCAACTTTCTCATCGGATTCGAATTCAAATCCATACTTATCAGATCCAATCGGATATGCTATTAATAGTGTTGGATCAGATTTGAATATACCCTAACTCGAATCCGATTCGATCCGTTTGCACCCCTACCAAGTTGCCCCTTCTAATTTGTGCATATCTTGAGAAGTAACTTGATTCCTATGCTCATTTCGATTTATCCCTTTTCCACCTCTTTATGTTTTACTTAGGCTGTGTTTGGTTGCAATGCAAATTTATTTGCACTAATGCAAAATTATGGCAGTGTAAGTCATGGTTTCAAAACCGGACCAGACCGGAAAAACTAGGAACCAGTCACCTGACCGGTTCCATTTTTCCCCAAAACCGCTTTTTTCCCAAAACTATTGATTTTGGTTAGCAAACTGCTGAACCAGCCGGTTAACCGTTTGAATAGTTTTGACCATTTTTCAAATTTTTTTTATTTTTTATTGTTAGAACGGGCCGACCGTTCAGGTCAAACGGTCAGACCATTCGAACTAGTAACCAGACCCCTGATCGGTTCGGTCACCGATTCGATTTTAAAAACCATGGTGTAAATGATTTTAGTACAAATTATGATTTATTTTTATTTCAAAATTTATCTTATTTTATTTGATTGCAGTACAAATGAAGCAAATCAAGACTTGAAGTAAAATAAAGTAACACCCAAAACAAAATTAAACCGGAATTTGAGTTCTTTTTATTTGCACTCCCATATATTTGTACTGGCACAAATAAAATTGCACTACACCCAAACACAGCCTCGGATACAGATGTAATCTCCCATAAACCCACTAATCTTTTCCATTTAAACGACGCGGCGATGCCTTCCAATTTCATTCAGGTGGATCCATCAATTGTCGGTGCAACTGGGTCCCACATGTCATAGATATATACCTAGGTTGTAAGATCCATTTGTAAACTCTTACATGGAAAAGACGAAATTTGGATCAAGGAAGGAAAAGTATTGTATTAATGAAACTGTGAGAGGGAGTTCGGTTTCAATCAGTGCAAGCCTATGCTTACATCGTTCCAACAACCTCTTGTAACGTTATATTAGGAATATCTTCTTATAAAATAAAACTCATAAATATATAAATATTTTCAATACAAAGGCTGTAAAGATTGTTCGAACGGGTTTTGCACTGATCGAAGCCCAATTCTGTGAGAGGCGAGTCTGCTCTGCTGCTTGGACTTTGGCCGAAACAGGTTTTGATTTCACTTTCGACATGTGGCAGATTGGTCATCTCCCCTAAGAGCGTTCACACAAGTCTTCTTCATTTCATTCAACAAATCGCTTTCTTCACCCTTTTTACTTTTTTTTTTTTCTTTTTTATGAGAATACAAAATGGGCTGGATCTTGGATGCTGGGAGGCCCACCCTTCACTTTATCCAAATACAGTACATAGTGGGCTGTCAGAATTGAGATCGATGTGGACATGGACCCTGCACCTGCGACTTATCCGAAGCCCAAGGGCCATCCTTCTGTCCCTCAGTCTTCATCTCAAAAGATCCTCTCCCGGCCTATCCCAATTCTAAGGGTTAAGCTTGTCTTGTCTTAATCTGATTGGGCGCCACCAAAAGAGACTGTTCCGGGGCTGGACGTATTGGTTAAAGATGGTCCAAAATGCTTGCAAGCCCGAAAAAGAAGTGGCACAAGCCCATAAAAGTTCAAAACCTTTTGACAACCTGACTTTCGGTTTTACCAAAAGCTCAACGCAAAATGTCAAAAAATGACAAGGATGATGTGGTAATCGTAATGCCGACGTAGACGAACAACCTAATACGGTAATTACGTGTTCCTCCCGTCGGGAGATATCCAACAACCCAATGCGGTAATGCCGACGTAGACGAACCCTCACCATTCGATATACCCATTCATCAAATATTCTATAATTAAAAAACCCACGAAGCAAGGAGAATTATCCACGTGGCACTCTCAGCCAACCCTTGGCTAGTACAGTGTACACGTGTATGACCGAAAGATGTGAACGTCATCACTTAACGGCGTTCAACATCTGTCGAATAGCTTTCTGTCAGGACTCCGGTCAAATCAAAATAAACCCGAACACGGCTTTCTTTTGAAAGAGTTGGGTTAACGGTCACCCCCTTTCTATCTTCCTGCCGTCAAATGTTCACCCAATTTTTGCTTTTTACCCCTTTCGGGCTCCAGCTAATGAAACCGCTTTTTCACTCGTATTTGACTAAAATACCCCTCGTCCTGGACAAATCTGGAACCCAGTTAGGGGTAGTTCAGTCAGTTCAAGAAATGTAAGAGAGAGCTGAAACATCGGCTTCGTCAACGACAAAGTCTAAGCCAAGCTAGATGACAAATATACCCTTATGACCGTTTCTGAAACTCCGAACGTGTAAACCATACTCCCCTCTATGGCTCTCTCGGGCCTTCTCTATAAATAAAAGCACGAATGGCTTCCGTTCGCACAAAATCAATCACAGAAGCCAAAAGGCTTGACCTTTGCATCTCAACAAGCAAGCTCTTATTGTAGCGTTCAATTCGACCAATCCAACTCTCGAATTTGATGGCAGAGTCCATGGCGGACATACAGGGAAGAAATTCCGGGACGGGGAACCGCCTGAGATCCCCGACGAGACTACAGGAAAAAGCACCGGCATCCATACAGGTGAGCCGGGCGTCGTTCTCTTCCGGGTGGAAGATAGCGATCCCTCTTCTAACGCCGTTGGTGGTGTCGCCCACGTCGCCCAATACAACGCAATGGATGGTGGAAGTGCTGAGAACTTCTTCTTCGTCTTCTTCATCTTCTTCGTGCTCTGGAGAGGAATCAAGACAGCAGCAGCAGCAGGATCTGCAGATACCAGAGGCGGAGAAGTCCATTTTCAAGGGATGGCAACATCCAGCGGCCCCTTTCTTCTACGAACCGGCTCCTTTGGTTCTCCCCTTTTCATAGAATTCAGAGGAGAGAAATGAGGGCCATGCATATACATTAATTCATGCATGATATTATGATGTATATATGTGTAGTACAGTACACATATCATGTATTTATACTAACTATGTAATATGTGATTTTGAATTGCAATCTGATCTGTGAATACTAATGAGTAATGACCCAACAACAGCTCATGCCACAGATTTTTCTTCCTCTTCCATGGGACTAATTCTAATGTAATTTTTGGTTATTCTGTGAGAGTTTACATACGGGAAAATCAGATCATTTGAAAGATATGAACGGTTTTGTCTTTTTTTTTTGGCAGAGGTTAAAATATTGGAAAGGCTTCAAAATTGTTTCTCCGGCTAATATACATGCCCAAATCCATAAATCCTTTCAAGGGAGACGAGGGAACCATGGCCCCCTATGGCTCATAAATCCTCATATCTATTACATTATCCTATGTATATTTCCCCATTCCCCCACTAATGGTCGGTCCCACCAATGATCCATCCATATTTATTTTCTTCCCCTACCTTCCCAATCTATTTTAGGTTTTCGCCCCCCTCATAAAAAAATTCTGTCTCTTCCTCTGGGTACGGTGAAGGTAAACCCAAATTGGAACTAGGCTTGTTGTTTTTTTTTTTTTAAATTAATAATTTTACTTTGAATTCGGCTTGTTGTGTTTATTACTGTTTAAAATTTTTAATCTCGTTACTTGTTATTAGTAATTTATTTTGAATTTTATGTTATGTTAGTCATTTTTAAATTAAAATACAGTATAAAATAAATTTATTACAACTAATTATTAAATTTTCAATGTTGATATCAAAAGTATTATGTATAATTATAATAATTATTTATTTATTAAACTTTATTATTTTTATTATTTGTTTTATTGTATTATTTATTTTATTCTTATCAGCCTTTTAGATAGCTTTTACTCATCTTATTAGTATTTTAGATAGAAAAAGAGAGATAGGGATTGGAAAACAGACATTAGATTTAGGTTGTTTATTATGTGATAGGTATTGAGATGTTTTTGGAGAAAGTCTTAAGCGGGAGAGATAGTTTAGGAGAGGAGATGATTTAGTTGATTAGGAACGTGTTGTGTGTCTGAATATGTGTGAGAGAGAGAGATTTTATGAATAAGATAAGAAGATTATTGCCTATATTCTTTTCTTATTGGTTTAATGGGCAATTAGGTGGAATTAAAAAAATGAAAAAATAAAAAAAAGGAAATTAACATTGGACAACAAAGAGCAGTATATAAAAGAGAAGCCCAAATGGAATAGTAAATGATTGGCACAATAGCACTAAACAAAGTTGGTGTTGTTGGAAGTGAGGTGGATGAGCAATGGATGAATTTGTTGCTGAGTTGGATAAACTAATATGGATGGTTTGATGACCTCTACACACATGAAAGTCAGAAGCTTCGAAGTGGTTCCTCGAAGATGAGCACTCTGATGCTCAAATCAAAAATGAAAAAGTGGTGATCAGCTGGACTGAGTTTGTTATAGTCATATGAGATGAAGCAAGGTTTTTAAAAACGAATCGTAAATAGAACTGGTCAGGGGACCGGTTTCCGGTTAAGCGGTTCAACTGTTCAGCCCGTGATATCATAAATAAATTAAAAAATAAAAAATATATGTTCAATTTTGGGAACCACCCAACCTTCAGTCCTTCGAACCTGAAGGTATAAGACTCAAAAAAAAAACTCGAAATTGGTAGCCCCCAAGGAAAACTTTTGGGAACCACCAATTTCGAGCCTAACACTCTATTGGGAACCGGAAGCCCAAAAGCTTTGCATTGTTTTTGAATTTTATACCTTTCACTCTCAAAGGATTGAAGTTGCAAGTTGCCACTAGACCAGTTCATGGGCCGGGTAGCCCAATGGCCCAGCCCGCACCCCGGTCGGGCTTGGTCATATAATTAGGCCTGTGGGCCTGACCTCAGGCCTAACACAGTAAGTCTGACTGTGTTTCGGGTCAGGTTCGGGATTTGTCAAAAAAGCCCGGCCCAACCCGACTTAGAATTATATATTTTATAAAATATATAATATGTATTTTATATATTATATAAAATATATAAATAATATAATATTTATTAAAATATATATTTATAAATATATACATTTTTTATCTTTTCTTTATAATTTCTCTCTCTCTCTATTCAGCCACTAACAGTATGGGCTAAATTTCGGGTTCGGGCCCAAGCCCGGGCTTCGGGCTTTTTATGAGGGCCAGGCTCGGGCCCAAGTTGTAGGCCCGATGGTTGGGCCGGGCTCAGGCTCGGGCTTTAGAAAATTCTGTTAATACAGAGTAAAAACCTGGCCCAAATCTGGCCCGGCCTGGCCCATGAACAGGTCTAGTTGCAACATGCATCGACATTAGCCTTCAATTCAGGGTGTATGAGGGCGTGCCACATGACCATTCCTTGGCTCGTCTAAGTTTTTTTTACTCGACCAGGTGTCAATTTCTCCGTCTTCCACATGGCGGTGGTTCAACCCCGACCTGACTCTCAACCATATCAATTGCCCCTACTTCTAAAGATGAGGTGTGTAGGGTGTTGGTACGTACTACGTAGTAGTATGAGGATTAGCTCTTGGCAAGTTCGGTATGGAAGTACTAAGCCGTTATTTGACTGCGTTGACTAATCAAACTTGATTTGGTAAATTTCATATATCATAAGAAAATAGTGCACTAGTTTTTCCCTAAATTCTTTTTCCTATAACCATTTTTTCCCTTGTAGACCCACGTCCTAATCCCTAATAAATTGGGGCAAATCCTAAAGAATATATAAAAATTTGAAACCCTAAAATTTTGATCTTAACCCTAACTACCAATTGAAAATAGACATATAACCCTTGCATTCCCCAATAATTTGATTGGATGCCATGATAACATCTAAATTGTTAGAGCTTCTCAAAAAGGTTCCTTAGATGCGTTATAGGTAGGTATCTTAGAAATAGTAAGAAATAATTGTAGGCATTAGTAACCCTCATGTCATTGAAGGCTATCAAGGATTTGTTTGGTTTACAAGAATAGGTGCTTGGAATCAAAATCAGAATGGCCCATTTTGATTCCTCCTGTTTGTTTAGCAGGAGTGAGATTTTGATTCCCATTCTTGGGGGAATGGAATATTCGAGGGAAATCGTAAGTGACCATGGTACTCCATAGCAAACGAATATTCGACCTCATCTTGACTATGGGGGATCGGAGCCCCAATGGGCAACATGCTAGTAAGGAGACTTTTCATATCTTCGCCTTACTCCAGTTGAATTTTATTGAGAAACACTAGCCCTAAGTCCCAAAATCTTAAGCAAAAAAGCATTGAAGATGGCTAAATGTTTCGTTTTACAGCTCAAACCCGCATGGAAGAAGAGGAGAAGCATCCATGAGAGTCACTACAAGAAAATCGGTCTAAGCCGGCAGTCGCATGACTAAGAAAAAACACAAAATAGTACTAAAAGTAAAAGAGAATAACAAAACCACAGAGTAAATGCAAAAATGGACTAGTCCTCTCTTACGCCTTACCAGCTGAAGAATGAACGACCAGAGAAGATAAAGGTGGGAGAGGAGAGGATGAAAGAGAGGTCGAGGCGGTCTTGAAAATCTTGGGTAGTATTCTGAGTCTACGTAGTGAGAAAAATGGTTAGAAATTGGAAGGGGAAAGAACGAAAGAGACAAGAAGAGGGTTTTGGGATGTGGAATTCACTTTTTCAATCTTGCAGATAAGGGCAACTTTTTGCCCTTAATATCAATAAAAAATAATATTTTTATATAATAATTAAAATAAGATATTTTTTTTGGAAAAATATCAAGAAAGGGCATTGTTGTCTGTCTTCCTCCTTTGCTCTTTATCCATGCGAATGGATCATAACATTCCGACCAAGTTAGAACTAGAAATGCTCTTCACGTATTAGAAAGTTGCCCTTATTTGCAAGAAACCCATATTCACACCACGAATATTTGGGGCTTTTGCCATCATCTCTGGCAGATCGAAATTGATTCCTTCTCGGACATGGGGATGCTTCTATAGTATCATCTGCAGGCAATCTTCGGTGCTTCCACCCACATCTACCAGGCACTCCATCCCTTTAAACCCATCGTAGCCCTCCAATATCGCCTTAATGAATGGCACGAATGACACGGGTACCCCCGACATGTACTCCAACTTGTTGCTATTGTAAGGTCAAAGATATGGGTAGCAAGAACATCCGAAAGTATGAAGAGTGGTGAAATCAGGTTACTGATGATACAATTTCTCGAATGGAGATAGCATGCCAATAACCGAGGAAGATAGGCGACTTATGAGATATACTGCAGTCTCAAATGTTTCAGGCTAGAATTTGGAAGGAGAATGGGAATTTGCAAGTAATGTGAGACCAATTTCGATGATATGTCAATGTTTTTTCTTAGTAGAGTCATTTTTCTCTGGCGTGTGTGGGCAAGAAAGGCAATGAATTATTCCTAAAGAGAGAAGAAGAGGAGCAAGTCGATTATACTTAATACTACCATCAATTTGAAGCATTTTAATTTTGCAATCAAATTGATTTTCACCATAGATTTAAATTGAGTGAACAAGAGTGGCACATTTGACTTGCACCTCATAAGATAGATATATGTGTATTTACTAAAAGCATCAACGAAGTGCAAATAATAACGAAATCGATTGATTGAAGAACAAGGAGTGGGGCCCCATACATAAGAGAAAATAAGTTCCAATGGTCTGGTAATAGTAGTAGAGCTATGAGAGAAGGGAAGACTATGGCTTTTGCCGAGTTGACAGTGGTCAGGGGACAAGCCACTTATTTGTGACAGGTAATTGAAACTTGGTGATGAGATGTTGAGTAATTATAGGATTTGGGTGGCCAAGCCTTTGATGCTAGATGAATGATTGGTGCGTTCTCCAATGAAAACTCTTGTTCTGCATGGTGAGTGAGGGCATGCTGGCTTTGCACCTGATACAAACCATTTTTAATTGGTCCATGGAGAAGATTCTCTCCCGTGGCATTGGCCTTAGCAAAGAAACCAAAAGAATTAAAAACAAGTGTTGCATCATTGTCATGGTAGAATTGAGATACAAAATTCAAATTCTTCTTAATTTGAAGCACATGAAGAGTATTTCTTAAAGAGAACCATGTGAAGTAGATAAAATAGCATGACCAATATGCGAAATTTTCAAACATTGGCCATTACCAATAGAGATCTGATCATTCCCACGGTATTCTTGGTGTAGAAATAAGTTTTCAAGCTCCGATGTCATGTGATTTGTGGCACCCGAATCTGGGTACCAATTGAGATCATGACTGCCAGCAGAGGAGGAAGCAATCATAGCTGAACCATTGGAGCGACCACCAAGAAGATCAAAGAAACGCCTGCAGGTATGAACAGTGTGGCCACAATAGTTGCATAGTTGGCATACTACATTGTTGTCTTTCTAATAATTGGAAGGAGAATGATGAGAATTGCCACCTTGATTGCTTCTTTGGTTACTATTGTTATAATTTATGGGCTTGTTGTTACTCTATTTTTGTAGTTGTTATATGTATTAGAGTGAGGGTCACGTTGCTCATTTGTTCCCTTTCTTGCAAATGTTTGTAGTCATTGATGAAGATTGGAGATGGCGTTCCATGCGTTTTTCATAACTCTTGAGAAGGCTTTGAACATCAGCTATAGAGAGTTCGTCAAGTTTAGTTGTGATAGATATAACAAAAGGATCGTACTCTAATCTAAGACCACCCAACATATAGTGAATTAGGTCAGCATCTGAGATTAGATAACTCAAAGCTGCCAAAGAGTCTGCAAGACCCTTAATTTTTTGTATGTACTTAGCCATCATCATTCCTCTTTTCTGAATATGAGCTAACTCAATTTTGAGATCATGAATGCATGATTTATTAGATGATGAATGCAGATCATGCAGTGTTTTCTAAACAGAACAAGAGGATATGCAACCTACAACTTGGGCCAGGGCTGGTTCTGTAAGTGTTGAAAGAATCCAACTAAGGATCAATTGATCCTATTCATGCCAGGGGATATACTCTGGGTTTACTCTCCTAGAAGAAGACAATTCATTCAAAAACTGAGAAGGACAGGGGAAGCTGCCATCAACATACCAATGTATTTGAAGTCCTTTAAGTGTTGGTTCAAATTGGGCTGTCCAAAGAATATAATTATCTCTGATGAGCTTCACAGTGATGAGCTGAGAGAAACTACTAGCAGAAACCATAGGTGGAGTGATGGTTGAGGTCTATGTTGCTGTGAAGTCGCTCGAATGAGGAATAGCTGCACTGCTGTCCCTGGTTCTCAGAGAAGATGTAAGTCTATGATGCTCTGATACCATAAAGTGATTCACAATTTGAAGAATTTTCTCTGTATTTTGAGCGTATTGTATTAAGATATTTATAGAGAAGATTTTACATGATAAGATACAACTGTATAGAATTTGAATATAAACAAATCACAACACAAACGGGAGTAGAGAGAGAGTTACTCATAACATATGGACTTCGACCCCGTGGTTTTTACCTTCACATTAAAGCGTTTTACACATAAATCTTGATCTGTTAAATTGCTTCTATTATTTGCTGCTTGCTATTTTCTTGTTATTCTGTTTGATTTGCACAAAAAAGTACAAAGGGATTTGTTCCCTAACACAGAGGTCTTGTGTTTTATTGCTAAGAGTGAAGACTGTGAGTGTCTTTTTGGAAGAGCTGCCAGTTCAGGACACTCTCCTCAAGCGTCGGTTTATCAATCTCAAATAGAAATGGTTGTAAACTAAAAAAATTAGACAACTTCAAAGAAACAGACGAACTCCACAAAACAGACCAAACAGCGAGGACTAGCGTAAAAAACATCTGTGTGGGATCGCTGCAGCTTGCCATATATCAAGGCATTCGAAGATTGATTGGCAACTAGAGAAAGCTATATGAATAAACACATGAACCCATTATGAACCACTGAAATTGTAACAGGCCAAACCTCAGAATAAATTTGTGGCTTCAGTTGAATAAAACGCACAATCATCTTTAAGTCGTTTTAGTTTCGTTTTCTTTTTTCTTTTTTCTTTTTTCAAATGGAAAAAGAAGTGTTGTTCTTTTCAAAACATAAACAATTGATGATAAACAAATAACTATTGACAACAAAGAACTTTAACTCTTATTCCTGATCCTTCTAAGTACTAATTAAGACAAACTTCACATTCTGGGTCTGTCCTGGCACAAAGACCCTCTCAAATATTTCTCTACCTGACTTTGTTGTTGGTTGTGTGTACTCTGATTCTCATTGAGCAATCAATTGAAGTTTGCCTGACAGCATCAAATATTTTTCTTGATTTCAAAATTTGCAATTGTTCTGGTTTTTAAAAGTTCACAATTTTCAATTGAAGCATGTCAAGCAACCTAAATTGATGCCTCATTCTCCAAAATTCGCTCCAACTTAATCCATCTCCTCTTTTTTATAACTCCATTTTACTTCTTACTTTACAAGTTTCCTCCCCTTCTCCTATCATCTCTCAACTCCCTAGAGTACAAATGAAAATATGTAGAGTGCAAAACCTTAGGCTGTGTTTGGTTGCAGTGCAAATTTATTTGCACTAATACAAATGCATGGGAGTGCACACGTAAAAAACGCAAATTCTTGTTTAATTTTGTTTTAAATTTTACTTTATTCTATTTCATGTCTTAATTTACTTTATTTGCACTGCAATCATACAAATAAGCTAAATTTTGAAATAAAAGTAGGTCAGAATTGACACTCAAAACATTTGTACTGCCATAGTTTTGCATTAGTGCAAATTTATTTACATTGCAACCAAACACAGCCTTATGTTTTGTATTATTTTATTCACTGTACATATATGCATTTGAAAAGAGTATTTGTATGTATAGTACAAATACATACAAAATAATACAAAATACAAGGTTTTGCACTCTTATATTTTGCATTATTTTATATATATTTGCACAGCACATATTTGCATTTGAAAGTTCGATTTGGAAAGAGTGTAAATACAAATATGTACAGTACAAATACATACAAAATAATACAAAATACAAAGTTTTGCACTCTCATATCTGTATTTGTACCCCTTCCAAACTGAGCTTTAAGAAATGTTACACAAGAGCAAGGACAAAGCACCCGAATAACTGCCGAAAGATTAGCAATAACTCAAATGATAATAAAAGGGTTAATTTTACTAACCCTAATAACTTTTATATAAATAAATATTATGAATATATGTCCAAATATCATTACAAAATTCAGGTTCCTTTCTTTTGTTTTTTTTTTCTTTTGCATCCCTACAAAATGTGTACAAAAAACTTGAATGTTCTGAAAAATACAACAAGATGAAAAGAATAGAAGATTAAAATAAAAATCAAGTACTACAAAGTTTAAGCATGCTAGTTTGACGACAGCCTTAAAAGTCAAAATCCCCATTGGCCTGTAATGTTCATTGGGAAACATAAGAAATTAGAAAGATACTACATCTATGCCAAGCTTCAGGTTCATTCTAAAAAAACGTAATCGTAGGACAATAATATGAGACAAATAATAGCTAATAAATATATCAAACTCAAATGAAAAAACCTTTCCTCCCCATTTTCCAATAGGCCTTAGGACCTAGCTAAGGAAACTAAAATTGTAATTGGTAATATCTGTTAATCCTTGGTGCTACCAAAGGTTTATCACACCAAGCTGCCAAGTCAAAACCAATAGTGTCATGATCAGATTTTCTATAATATGCAATAAATTATCAGCCAATCAGTTGGGTCTTACCAACTTCTAGTGACTACAAATAGGAATCCTAGATGCTGCTCAAACTCTTTTCCCATTTTCCATGTTCTTTAATGCTCTACAAAGAAAATCTGCTTAGATCTATTACAACAGACCCCCCCTCTTTTCCCATTTGGATTAGCTGAACATGATGGCTGTGTAGTAAGCTGTGGAACCAATGTTAACACCCCACACCAGTCAAAAAGAATAATGGGGCCCACAGTGAGAGGTGGGTTCCATGTATTTTATGACTGCTTGGTTCCACAGCCTGCTGAACAGCTATTGCAACATCTGGAGGCACAATCTAGAAGCATACAGACCATACAGACCCTTGAGGTGTACACCTCCAGCATGGGTGTGTACAATTCCAGCCTGTAGGCATATGAAGTGTATGCCTCTATTGCGCTTTATACACAAGAGGCTTAACCCTACGTGTCACACCTCCATGTGTGTATATATATAAATATATAAGAGAGAGAGCGAGAGTGAGAGTGAAAGTGAGAGAGAGGGAGAATTAAAAAATTAACCTTCAATATACACAGGATATATCCATGGTTTTTCATTTTTATATCCCAAGCCCCTATTCTATACTACCCTTCTAATGTATATTTAAGGATAAAGAATCTCAGTCAGGCTACAACTCACATTTAAATACTAAATTCAATGGTAAGATAACTTCTCCTGTATATAGTTTTGTTCCAAATAGCACTTAGGCAGAAGTCCTTTGCGCATGAACTCTTTTACCATGGATTTTGGGTGGAAAGGGGAAAGGTAAGATCACATGGAGGGCAATGATGCAGGGCAACTACACAAGAATTGAACGATGAAGAGAAACTGAAAAAACCAGTGTATTGTCAGTTAAGGCCACCTTAAACCAAGCCTCACTCTAAAACAGATCTGCCAGTTGAGAGTTCCTGTTACAAGAAGTCCGAGTGATGAGGCATCACCCAAAACAAAAAATAAATACTATATATATATATATATATATATAGAGAGAGAGAGAGAGAGAGAGAGAGAGCCTTCAAATTCTGTTAGAATCAAAATCCAGTCCAACAGCTTTGCCCCAATGATTGAACATTAACTTCTCCTTGCTTTCCAAGGCTCCTAGCACACTGCAAAGGGGATGCAACTCCACATAATTTTTGCTTTTCTGCATCCATTAAGCACAAGCCGAAGTTCAAATATTTCTTTAGGCATCCGATGTGACCACCCCTCCATCTTGAAGAGTTGAGAAGTTGAATCCCCAAATGGCCCTTGAGTAGCCACAATCCAACAAATGTAAAATCTGATCCTCTTCTGATTCACATAGAACACACCTGTTTGCTATTTGTGCCCTCTTTTATTCAACTGGTCTTGAGTGAGAATGCTGCCCATTGCCACCAACCATGCAAAAGCTTCCACCCTTGGAGGAATTGGATTACCCCAAAGGCCCAAATATCTCCAACCAAGATCTTTACACTTGATTTCGAGCCAAGGCTTTGCCATTCTTACATTTCTTCCACCACTTTGCATCAGCGCTCCCGGGATTAATTTCCACCTCTTCAAGTCTAGACAGCAGCAACACACATTCATAGTTTTCAAGGCGTCTAGGCGATTCTGGGCGATACTGGGGTGCCTAGGTGCCCACCTAGGCGATAAGAATTTTATAATATAAAAAACTAACTTTTAGATAGCAGCTAAAGAAGGCTATTAACTTTATATGATAAATATTCAAGATGGAAAGTAAAATAGAAAAAACAAGGATGGAGTTTCTGTTTTATTTAATTAGAGAGAGAGAGAGAGAATAGAAAAAAAAAGAACCTCTTTATAATTCTATTCTTTCTTTCCTCTTTCTATTTTTCTTTCTTTTTCCCTCCTCAAAACCCTTTGATCTTTTAAATTTCAATAGTAAAACATTAAAACAAAGTATAATTGATATATAGCATATATTAAAATCTTTTAACACATACATTAATAAGATACAGCAATATAAATGATATTATAATAGGTGCCCGCCTTTTCATTTTTGTCACCTAGGCAGGCACTTAGTCGCATAGAAGGCACCTAGTTACTAAAGTCAAGGCATTTGGGCGAGGTGCCCCTAGCCGCCTAGGCAACAACTTGACAACTATGCAAACATTCTTCCGCCTCCCAATCAAGCAAAGGTCTTCTAAACATTGTGAGAAACCCACACCCTCTCTACTTAGCCTATACATCTTTGGACATAAATCACAAAGTTTCCCCACTTCAAACCATTCACCCCCCCAAACGTAATACTAGACCCATCCCCCCACCCTCCAAGAAACAAAAGGCTTAAACAAGGATTGAAATTTCATTATTCCTTTTTACACATTTATGCCATATGAAGTTTTCACCTCCCTTGAATTCCACCCAAAATTCACCACCTCATACTTACAAGCAAAATCTCTCCTCCAAAGTGCCTCCCTTTCCCACCCAAACCTCCAAATCCATTTTCCTAACAAAGCTTGATTAAATGTTCTAACCCTCCTTATTCCCAAACCCACATCATTCTTGGCCATACAAACCCATTCCCACCTCACCAGGTGATACTTCCTTTGTTCTACATTTATGTTCCACAAGAACTCCCTTTGTGACCTTTCAATTTCTTCTGCCATTGATGCCAAAGCCTTAAGGATAGATAAGTAATAAATCGGAAGATTAGACAAAACACTCTTATGTGATCCTAGCTCCAAAAGATGCTTCCCCTTCCAACTAGTCAACCTTTTCTTAATTCTATCCCAAACCAGTTGCCAAGTGGATGGTGCCGCAGCTTTTGCCCCAATTGGCAAATTCACCATTAGCAACCCAAAGCTACTGCACAATCTTCAAAAATTGATTGCTGAATGTCACCCACAATCTTCAAGTTCATGATCACTCAATCTCCTTCTAAAACCCAAGTTCCAACTTAAACCAACTTAGGGAGAGACAATAACAAATCTTTGAATAGGTTAATTTTTAAGTAGATAAAGAGAACACAAAGAGGGGAAGAGGTCTTTGAGACCCAAGTTACCAACCCAAACATCTTCCCAAAAGGGATTTTGTCTCCAGTACACACATCAACCTAACAAGGCTTAAGAATTGAGATAGCATACTATGAATGGCTTTCCACAAACAAGCCAAAGTATCCCACTGCCTCACACCAGCATCCCACCTGTTTTTTTTTTTTTTTTTTTTTAATGAATAAAAATTTGGACCATTTCTCGATTTGTTGCCAACTCTCCCATGAACACTTTCCACTACAATATGCCATAATCTCTCCCTCTCCAATTGCCACCTCCACAATCATTTAACCAACAGAGCTACATTCTTCTTCCCTAGATTTCCTATACCCAAACCTCCATGCTCCTTTCTTTTGCACACTATTTCCCACTTAAAATGATCTTTTCTCTCTTCACGAGGTTCCCACAAGAAGTCCCTCTTCTTTAGTGTCAACACCTCCCTTTGGGGAATCTTAAAGACCTAAAGGTATAAGTTGGCAGATTTGTATGTGGACTTGATCAATGTAATTCTACCTAGCGAAATGTAATTTATCTTCCAAACTGCCAATCTCTTGACAGGCCTTTCCACTATTGTGCTCCAAAACCTACTTTCACTAGAGTTATCTCTTAGTAGAAGACCTAAATATTTTGGTGGCCAAGAAAGACATGGAACAACCTATGGATTCAGTTATTAAGTCCAACTCCTCTGTTAGATTAACCCCAGCCACACAACTCTTTTTTAAGTTAACTTTCAACTTCAATATAAACTCAAATAACTTCACCACCCATTTTAAGTTCCTTGCCTTCTAGATATCTACTCCCTTACAAAAAATAATTGTGCCATTTGCAAATTGTAAATGTGTGACTATTGCATTATTACTTCCAACACTCTACCCTTTAAAGATACCCATCCTTTTTTTGGTAATAAATAAAAAATAAATTTTATAAAGAAAAAGAAAAAGGTATAATAGAGGTCATAAGATATCACCCACTAAGAAAAACAAAAGCACCAAAGAGAAGCCACAAACTCCTGAACCCAAAAAGAGATACAACGACTTTTAACTTTTAACCCTTAGACACTAACCCACAACTTGCTTCAAATGCCTGCATCCCTCACCAATCCAAAAACAATAATGCTCAACCAATGAAACATATCCCCAAACAAAAGCCTCGAACTCTCACCAGTCTGAGTTTGGACTTTCAACACGCATCGGGTACTCTAATATTAATTCCCGAAACACTCTTCTAGTGTAGTCTTCCCCTCCTAGAACCAATCAACCCAACTTCTTGCCAACTTGGATTCCAGCTTCCACTAGTTTTCCACATACATCACTTTCCAGTTTTTCAAACTCTATCAAGCTCCACTCCTTCCTCTTTCTCTTCAGCTTCTTAAACTTCTTCTAAATCATTCTCTTCCCCAACAATAACCCTTCTTTTGCCAAAGATTCTTCAGTAATATTTGCCAATTTATCTCCCTTGTCACCACAAACTGGAAAAAGAGTAAGAAGAATCTCAACAATAGTGTCTCTAAGCAAGCAAATTTTTTCCTTCTATACACTCTTGAATTTGCTACTTGGTCCTGCACTTATGAGCCTGTCTTTCAACTTAGAGAAACTTTGGTAATGTGAATTAGATGCCCATTATTCGTGCTCTTCGTCTTCTTATACTTCACTGAGGATTTTGAGATGGAATTAAATAGTCTCAACAGACCATCTTTTCTTGTTCCCTACTTCTTCCTGCCATGATTTTTTTCCAATTTCCCCACTATTACTTCTGAGAAAATTACCTCTTTCCCCATTATTATCCCCTCAGAAATATCTGACCTCAACATTGACGCCAATTAAACATCCAAAAGAGAAACCTTACCAAACTCTCGCAAACTAACTTCATCCCTAATAACTTAAGCTTCCACCACTATCTTTACCTCACCCATAGACGGTAAAAACAGACCCTACCTCTTCGTTGTCTCTACTTCATCCAACCTGTCAACTATCATAATTACTCTACTAAATACATCTGGCTATTGAGGTGAACAAAAATGGTGAAAGTGGGTCACCTTGTCTTAAACCTCTGCTCACTGGAAAGAAATCCTTGACTACCCCATTGATCAACACCAAATAATGACAAATTTTTAAACAACCCTCAATCCATCTACACCACTTCTCTCCAAAACTATATCTTCTCAACACCTCCAGAAAGACCAATTCACCAAATCATAGGAGGTCTGCAACTGGTTATTGTGCTATGGTTTCAGGGAATAATGTTTTTTTTTTTTTTTTTTGGAAAAGTAAGAATTGTTTGCAATTACCAGATCATCAGCTAAGCAAAGTACTAGGCAATGGCCCATGGAGTTTTAGAGTTATTGTGCCTTAGATCTCTCCTACAAGAGTTAGGCATTGTTTATGATAAACCAATGATATTATATTGTGATAATCAAGTGACCATAAATATTGCTCATAATCCAGTTCAGCATGCTAGGACAAACCATATTGAGGTGGATAGATATTTTATATGGGAAAGAACATCAGGAGAAATATGCATGCCATTTATTGCCTTTGAGGAACAATTAGCAAATGTCTTGATCAAGGGAATCCCAAAGGCAAAGCTATAGCATGATATAAGCAAGGTGGGCATGATCAACATCTATGCTCAGCTTGAGAGGGAGTGTAGAAATATTGGGACAAATGGTCCCTAACTTGTTTCTTCCTATTTGTTCTTTTATTAAGCTGTATTTTCTTGTAATGGGCCTTAAGTATGTAGGTCCCTTTAATTCTTTTTTGTGTTTAATAAGTCAGCCGCCCTATTAAGGGAATCTATGAAATTACACCATCAGTTAATTACAGATTTATTAAAAATGATTAAGGGGACAGTAAAGAGACACGATATTCTCTTCTCCTACTCCCTCCTTCCACTTTTACTCTTCTTGTTGTGATCTTTCTTCCTTCTTCTCTCTTCTATTTCTTTTGATAAATCCCCAACTTTTTGCTGTTTTTTACTTTCTTTTTATTGGAAACAGGTTATTAAAGTGGTTTCAAAAACTTAGGTCCTCATTTGACTTTCCCAATGGATATGCTTTAGTTTTAATTTAAAGCAATTAGAAGTGCATCTAGTCATCTTTTGACTCTTGGGAGTACTTGAAAGTGCGAAATATTGTAACTTACATCTAGGGCTGCAACGAATTGAATTGGATTAGATATAGGTAGATCCAAATATAATTCATTTATATTTGAATTTGAATTGGATCTTATCCATCGAATTTATGTCAGATTTGAATCAAATTCAGATTGCAACGGGATATTGAATAGTATAAATAAATTAAACTAAAAATGATCAAAATATTATAGTATTAATAAAATGAACTAAAAACGACTTGGATAATATATTTTATGAAGAAAATTAATTGAAACTACTTATATGAAATTTAATAAAAACACAACATCAAAATAAACATTATCAATAGATACAATATAATGTTCAATCCAACTATAAGCGCATCGAATTCAGAATGCCCTTAATAGGATCGAATTCAAATTCAGACAATCGGATACCATTCACAACCTTTCTTGGATCTTCAAAAAACATTGATTAGTGGAAATAGAACAAATAAGAAAAATGGAAAGAGTAAGATCTAGAAAGGTTGATAGGAAATTATTACTCACCTTTGTGAACAAGATATCCTTATTGTTCAAACGCATTATACCATCCTTGAGTGTACATTTCCATTTGCTTTTGGTTCTGTTTACCTGAGAAAATACAAAAATTACTTTTCAAAGAGCTACTTTCAAAAATTAAGGATACAACACCACAGATGAGTGTAAAACTAGGATAGCTGCTTTGAACAATCAGTACCATATATTAAGTTATTAAAAAGATTATACAGGGTGATTTGATCCAAAAAGGTCACAACCTGAAATTTAGGTTCTAAGATTTGTAAAAGTAAGCTGCAAAGTTTTTGCTGGTACCTTTTCAAATTGCGCCAACACTAGATGGTTTGTATTAGGCTCCTCATCTCCCTGCTCTAAATCATCAACTTCATCATCATCATCTTCGTTTAGAGGTGGTTCTTCATCTTCTGATGCTTCAGCTTTTGTTCGTTTAGGAGTTCCAACTTCATTGCCAGGAATTGGATCTGGAACAAGAAAAGGTTTTTTGCTTATCCTTTCTGTCAAAATATGCTACTCACAAATAGAAATCAAAGAATATTTGCTCAGAAAAGAGCATTCAGTAGGTACAACAAATAAATCCATCTAGCTTTTACCATAGTATGATGGTGTATTGTAATCTTCAGTGCGGACACCCTTTCACCAAATTATATAGAAAAAAAAAAGAGGAAAGTATTAGATATTTAACGGATGTAAAATAAAACATTTAGAAGTACTTTAAGTGCTTTGTCACTTACATCATCATAAACATCATCAAAGCCATCACATTGTGGAATGGTTAGAGAATGCCGCCTCATTCTAATTATTGAAGCAATTGCAGCATCAGCTTTCTTTCTTTCTTGGAGCTTTAATCTGTTATGGAGAGTCCCAGCATATGCCTCATTTGATGAGTTCTGTGCAATTGGGTTCTTCATAAGATTCAGTTTCCTCCATGGAAGACACAAACAACAGAGTTGAATCTGCAACTTAATGGCAATCTATTTTAACAGTTCATCTGTGAGACATTTAGTGCAAACACGGAAAATGATTTCTCTGTAATTCAGTTATGATAGCTCTATCATTTTATCCTTTCCTTTTACATTCAAAAACAAAATATTTTATCATGTTTGCTGCCTATGTGGGAAATGGTAAGTCACTGCAAAAGTGGCAAATGGTAAGTCACACATGTTTGCTGCCTATGTGGGAAGCTCCACTAAACTCCCAGCCAAACTCCCTAGATCAACTGTTAAACCTCAAAAGACACCATTCTGATGATACAGATTGAAAGAATTATTAAGAGATAAATTCTGTGTTGTTTGACTTCAAAGTCTCAGATCAGACCTTACCACTATCACTAAGATATTAAAATCAAGCGCAATACCCGATATCACCACCCAACACTATGCTTGGTATATGGAGGGAAAGTGAACCACATTCTAACACTGTAGCCATTTGTCTGGCATTGAGTTCTCTATCATCAGAATGTGCAGTAACCACATATTTTCAAATCTAAAGGGGGTAGGACCTCCACACCTTCTTTCCTCCTTGCATAACACTATGGGCCAGTGATCCGAGGTCACCCTTGGGAGAGCTCTAGCATCCAAGGTTCCCCAATGTTCTTCCCAATCCAAAGAGAACAKGAATCTATCCAACTTAGAGCAAATGGGTCTAGATTGGAGATTTGACCATGTAAATGCCTTATGCGCTAGGGGAATCTCTTTAAGCTCAAAGGCATCCACAAAACTGTTAAA